CAAGAAATGTTAAATCCCGAGAGTAGAAACACGCAATGGGTCGAGCGATTACCCAGCGTGATCAAAGCTATAAACGATGAAACGACGAGATTAATAGCTAAAGCGCCGTCAGAGGCGGTTAAACTAGAACAGGTCCGGCAATCGCCGGCTAACCCCGTTAAAACAAAAGAGCAACAATTACCGCAAGATGCCATGGTTAGATATTTATATTACCCGGGTGAGCAAGAGGGTGGAACCTCGAGAAGAGCCACGGATCCCATTTGGAGCGTAGACATCTTCAACGTGGAAAAAAGAACGAGTCAATTTAAAATGATTAACGGTAAAAAAGTCACGACGGGTCCTACTCTTTATTACCTTCAAAACGGCCCAAAAAGGAGTTTTGTGAGACAAGAGCTTCAAGTCGTACCCGAGGACACGCAATTACCGCCTAATTAATATCTAGATTGCGGTGACCATAAGCGAGCGTGTGTATTCCATCCGGTAAAATGTACCTCTTGGTATCCAACGGACTCAACGACAATTTATCTAGCGATATGGTGTAAAGGATGTGTTTTTCAGATCGAATTTGAGTCATCGTTTCTGTTTTAGATTTATTTTTAAAGATGCAGTCGTAGTAGTGCCGGTGTTTTAATTTTTTGTCGGTGACCGATTTTGTGACCCCCTTGGCTTTTTTAAGAGTGATGTTGTTGTCATCCGCTAAAATCGAGTACATCTTAGGTCTTATGCAAACGGCTTCTTGAATGACCTTACCTCCAAACTCGTCTTTAAATTTACCGATCACTTTCTTATTGGTTGAGTCGTATAACTCGTGATCCAGATTGTAATTCGAAAAGTCGTAGTGTCGCCCGTGAGATTGCATGTCTTTGTATATGTCATCCGTGTAAACGACAATCAACAGACTGTCCGTATCCGTATACATCAACCTAATTTGATCTCCGTACTTGTCTTTCAATCGGTTGTAATAAAAATCGTACATCAGCGTCTTTGAGAGATCTAAGATGCTCACTCCGCAGTAAATGGGTTTGTTTAACAAGGTTTTAGTCTTGTACGTTTCGACAAACGACAGGTCACATTCTGAAAACGGCGTTGTTGTTTTATAGCTCGGTTTTTGAATTATTTTTTTGTATTTTTCTTGATCGCTCTCGTTATTGTCTCTCAGTAGATAACCATCTATTCGATTTCTAACGTTTTCCATCGTCTTACCAAACACGCTGTTATTCATAAGTTTAAAAAAGTCTTTCTCAAAATCAGAGGACGCTTTGGTTCGGAGTTGCGTGTTTTTATCGATGTAAGATTTCATCCAAGGCGCTTGTTTAAATTTTAACACGCGATGTACCTTTTTTAGTTTCAAACCTAGATTGAGATACATCTGCAACGTAACGTAGTGCAACACATATTTTTGTTTTGGATTCAGCGTACACGTTAATTTTTGTACGTCGCTACTAGGTTCGGTATCCAATAACTCGTTTTGATAATCAGACATCCAATCTTGGGGTATGACCATATTTTCGGGCGCTAGTGGATAATCGTTATGCTTAGCGTGTAGATCGTGCGGGTAATCGAGGTCTACTTCAAAAAAGTAACCAGTGTTTGACGTTTTCTTAAGCGTTAATATTCTTTCTTCGGTAAATGGTTTCGAGGGTGTCCATTTAAAATCGCTGTACGGTAGATATTGACTCATAGCCCAACCGTACAGATTGTTGGCATCCAGATAAGCAATATAACTCGAGGGTTTGTTTGAATCGTAGTCATCGAGATAGTGATTATTTGCTTTGTGATGTCTCATTCCACCCACGCTCGATATGCCTCCTCGTTTTGCTTTTTCAAAAAATAAATGTTTGTCTACGTCTTGCAATAGTTCGAGTTTAATTTCCGAGTGTTTTAATAGAGCATCCCACGACAATCCGGGTGCGGTGTAATAATTGGCTGGATCTAGCCCGTAGTTTGTAATACACGTTCTTCTAAAGTTTTCAAATACGCCTGCAAGTAATAACGTATCGGTCGTCACGTACAAGTCGTGATATTCTCCTAGATTTTGTATATTAAACTCCTTCCACACGCGTTGAGCTCTGTCATAGTCTTGTTGCGATATATGTTCGTCTTTTAGTCTGCTGTAAAACTTGCCGATGGGTGGTAGGCTGGTCTCTTGAAACTTATCAAACGAGTTCATATATTCGTAGGGATAAATTCCTTTTTGTAATAGCAAGTCAGGATGTTTAAAATGCTTTTTGAGTAGCTGAAACGACTCTTTTGGACAAGCTTTCACTAATTTATCCAACGATGATGCCATAAAACTTAACGAGTCTAAAAATCGTAGATTTCCTATCGAAAACGAAATATACTTTTCTGAATTTTTAGCGATCACTTGTATTTCTGTTTGGCTATCGTATTCTGTCATTCCCTGCATGATTAAATGCGCGTCGTAATTTTGTAAATTGTGAAAAAAGACCGGTATCGGTGTACAACCGGGTTTAATTTGTAGTTTGAGGTTACAATAAGCGTGTGCAGCACCCCTATATTTACCAGTGACGTGGCAGTGATCTCTCACCTTTCTAAATTTATTAATGCTCTTTTTACAGTCGAGACATTTAGACTCGATAAATCCCTTACTATTTTTGTACTGATATTCTTTCTTTTGTTTTATCGTCTTGGGTTCCCTGGGTTTCTGGCACTGACAGTTGCTCGAGTAATTGGGATAAATTGGTTTTTCGCAAATCCAACACGTGTTTGTTGTATCGTGATGGTCTTTAGCTCGCTCGTTAAATTTCATGGTTTGGGGTTTTTCAAATATGCAATTAATATCGCTTTGTAATTGTAACAGCGTCGTTATAAATCTAGTTGAAGCGTCTTTGCCTCTATAAGTCTCTTGATACACATTTTTACCGTCGCATCGGACGACAACTAGCGAATAACCGCTAGCTTTGTGAACGTTAATCTTTTTTGTGTTTGTCTCTTTGTCTGAGTGAGTAGGTTTAGATGTCAGTGTCTGTTTGGGTGTTGTTGTTGTTTGTAGTATGGATTCAAAGTCAGCATAAATGACAAATGGTGCTTTTTGTTTGTGCCTATAGTTTTTAAATTCTAATATCGGTACGTCTCTTTCGCCTGGTTGCCCGTCTATGTATTTTGGTTTACCCATAGGAAATACAATCTTTGATGGATGTGCATCTATACCCTTACAATCGGCGAAATGTCTGTCTAATTTGTTTTGATTGGTAAAATGACATAGACATCTTCGACAAAAATATTTCTTACATTTATGTTTTGTAACGTCGTACATCAACCTCGTAAAATATTTTATCCAACAATAGTGATGCTTGTCACCTTTAGAAATCAAAAGCAGATCGATCTCTCGTGACCCATAGTTTTTAGACACGTATAATGGATATATCTCACCCTCATAACCGTATACGTTTATCGATAAATTATTTTGTCTTTCTATCTTGGGTATCTGATCGACCGGTGTCGGAAAGTCAACGCCTTTAAAACTGAGTCCGTCGTCTTTGGTGTATACAACGGGTTCTTCTTTATGAATTTTATATTTAGGATTATTTCTTATTTGATTTTTTACTTTATCCGTATACAACTCAAGAGCAGCTCTCAAACACCATCTCAAACACTCGTCGTCTTTGTTTTTGATGTTTATCATCGCCTGTTTAATTTTAAGATGTTCGGGTAGGTTTATGTAAGAACTACCTCTCGCTGGATTATATCTGTTGATGTTGATGTATAACGCCATTATCTTTTTTAAAACCCAACCCGATCCTTGATTCGTATACCTTTCATCCTTTCTAAATATCTGGTCAATCTCTTCTTTTAAAGCCTGTTTTATTTGACTTTGATTTAAAACGGCTTTCGGCTTGCTATAATGAATAGCTTCGATCGTTTCGATCGTACCATCCGGTTTGGTTTTTTCGTATTTTATTTTGATTGTGAGCTCCATTTTTAAACCTCTCAGCTCTCTCAATTCTGACTTGATTTTATTGACTATTTGTTCCTTGTGCGAATCAAAAAACTTGATCAAATCATGGTTATAAAGTCTGGGGTTTAATTCCCAGTTTCTGTAGTAATTTCTAAACCTTCTCGTTTCTCTAAAAGCTGACTCTGTAAAGTATTCGGGTTGTCTGTATGTTTTAATCGCCGAGATTAAATCTTTTTTCAAAACTCGTCCTTTATAACCCGTCGGTACGTATTCTAGATTTTGTTCGTCTACAATCTGTTTGAGCTCATAAAGTTTCTTTTTCCTCAAGTTTTTAAATTTACTTTCATAATGTTTTATCCCCTCGATGTATACTTTACGAGTAAGAGAAACATTTTCATTGTGCGGTATATTATACCGCTGTACGTAATCACGCAGCGTGGCTTTGTTCCATTTAGAATATCCTTTGACGGTCGGTCTGAACATATTACTCTCCATTTTATTATAGGAAATATAATATTTTTTTCTCATTTTTTTTGGAAGACAGACTTTGGATTTATAAGCAATCAGACTCACCTCATTTTTCAAAGTCGCGTTGTTTACGCCAAATTGTTATCGTGCCTCAACACGTTTCAAGGTCACGTGGTGGTGACTCACACATTTTCCAAGGTCACGTGGTGGTGACATCACCTCATTTTAGCGACGACAGATTTTTTTTATTTTTTTCTCTCTCTCCCGGCTTCAGGATTTTTTTTTTTTTTTTTTTTTTTCTCCCGGCGTCAGAGATATTTTTTTTTTTTCTCTCTCTCTCTCTCTCTCTCCCGGCGTGAGGTTTTTTTTTTTTTTTTTTTTTCTCTCCCGGCGTCAGATATTTTTTTTTTTTTTCTCTCTCTCTCTCTCTCTCTCCCCGGCGTCAGATTTTTTTTTTTTTTTTTTTTTTTTTGGAGATCGGGGGATTCCCCTATTTTTCCAAAACCGAGAGCGGCGTGCCCAGGCTCGCCGCAGATTTTTTCGATTTTGGTCCCGTACCCCCGCCTCCCTTACTACTGAGCACTCTCCGTTCTCACTGTGGTTTGCTGTGGAAGTTCGTCTCTAAGAACTTCGAGGTGGGACTACTTCTCAATTCGCGCTACTGGTTGGTGGCCGTCATATCTTGCTGCACGACCTACGCGTACCTCATGTGGATTGTGTATTTCGTGTCCCAGGCGCAGTCCAACGGGTTCACTTTGGAGGAGGCGGGGTCTTTCGTGACCATCGCGGGCATTGCGAACCTGTTTGGTACAATCAGTCAGGGACTGATCACCGACCGCGGAGTGATGTCCTCGTGGACTCTGGTTGCCGTTTGCCTCGTTATGAGTTCCGTCTCGTACCTTGCCTCCTCTTTGCTGACTTCTTATTGGGCAATGATGACGTCAGCGGTGCTGATTTTGTTCATCGAGGGGGTCTTGTCCTGCCAGACGGATGTTCTCGTCAAGCAGGTTCTTGGTGTCGAGCTATTGGCGGGTGCTTTTGGCTGGATCGGGCTAAAGGTGACGTTATTATTAGTCGCTTTGGGATTTCTGCCTGGTACGTATAAGCCTAATAATCATATGAGTGTCGTTTCCTTACGCCACTTTCTTCACTGCATGGAGTAGTCTAGTATGTAGTTTCAACATACAAGTAATAATTATTAGGAAGTACTTTAATTCATGGTGTTACTTGTGTGGCATCACTGGCAATGTGCATCACACCATGCAATAGCATAAAAGATCAACAATGTCAAACCATTCTACGAAACTTCCCGATTTCAATTTTACCTTCTGTCTCTGTTTTAAGGTTTGGTTTACGACTTGACCGGAAGTTACACCGCAGCCTTTCTACTGATAGGCAGCGTGCAGGCTGTACCACTGGTGCCTTTGCTGATGCTAAGATATTCTCAACGGTAGAACCTCGGAGAGTTTCTTGCATTGGAGGGTTTCATAATTGACTGTGAGTCGATCGGAGTTGAAACAGAAGCATAAGGACATAATGTACATTGAACAAGTGTGTTTTGATCAATTAAAGATTAGTTGCACGCAATCCTGGCTTTATGCCTTTTCCTGGCTTTATGCCTTTTTCTGGCTTTATGCCTTTTGGTTTGTGTCTGGTGTTGTTGCGATTTCTATGGGTGTGGCAATCTTGCCATACCTCGTGTGAACAACATTCATCCGATTATGATAATGCAGAATGGCAGTGGCGCACCCAGGATATATGGCTGGGGGGGGGGGGGCTCACATTTTTTGTTCAAAATTTTTAGAAGTTAAATTTTTGTCAAAAAATTGTGCCCACAATTTTTGGCCGCAGAAAAAAATTGGGGTATTGTTTTGGGGGCGGACTATTTTGACGTTGGTGGCGCCACTTACACCCCTATTATACTACTCGAAAATAGGTCACATTATCACCAAGGTCCAATCGTGGGCAACCTCGCCCCCAGGGTGTCGAACAGTACGTGCCCACCACTACCTGCTCTCTCACCCTGGTATTGGATCATTTGCATGTGCAAGATTTTTGAACACGTATGCAAATGAGGAATAGTCTGGCGCCTACACGTGCGTTACATTAGCGTTTGTTTTTGTATGCGGTTTAGGGGGTTAAAACAACATCAATTCGTCGCGCCGTAAGTCATGAAAACACAATTTTGTTTTAAAGTTAAAATGTTACGATCTGGCCCGCCAATTTGCAGTATTACATTTCAGATTAATAAAAGCAAACTGGAAAGGAAAGGAGTATTTTTGAGAAGGCATGGATGTTTTAATTACAATGATCGTGAAAACACGTAATGCACGTTGGAAATAACAACACCAACTACACGGTAAAAATCCATTACTAGCAAATTGCGGTATTGAATCAGGATACAGGAAGAAAGTTTCCTATCCAGGGCCTGGAAATAAAGTAAGCACTGGGGACTAGGTTGAATAGTGGGACTAAAAGGAAAAAAAATACGAATCAAAAAAAAATTAAAAATTGACAACCTTTTTTGGGGGGGGGGCTCAAGCCCCCCGACCCCCCCCCCCCCCTTGGGTGCGACACTGCAGCATGGGACCAACACACAAGAATTGCACTTGAAAGAATACACCGAAAACAATATCGTCAAAAGTCGTGATTAATCCTAAGCCTTCTTAGGAAATATTGTCCCCCTCCAACCTTCAAGGACTGGAATGCATTATCATCACTTGCAATCTCATCCTCATCATTGAATGTATTGTATTTTTAATCTGGCCTTAGCATAAGGCCCTATATAATTTCGTCTAGAAGATCCTATTGCTGCCAAGCGCATCGCAAGTTTGCGCTACGGTGCAGGCGACGTTTGTCTGCCATATATGAAAATACACCATGCCCATAACAACTCATTCGTATATATATCCCAGTGGTAGATCATCATCGATAGATTACTAGGATGTTGAGTGTTTCCGTATTCTTGCCTGTATTTGTTTTGAAAAAAAGTGTATGAAACAAGCCGTTGCTGATTTGAAGATAATACATGTTTGCGAAATAGCCCGAATGCCTATCGGTCGCGTATAAAACTTTGAGGCATCTTGATCTTCAATTTCTCTTAATGTTCGTAACCTTTTAAAAAGCCTCCCTTTCGGACTCGAACTCGAGGGATTTCTTGGGGGGGGGCGGAGACGGGGCCCTCACTCTCTCCGAAGCCATCGCCCCAAAATGGGGCACTGGTTTTTTTTAAATCCAGTATGCACAAAATTCATTCAAACAAAGATCCACAATTACGAGGGAAACATCTGCATCCAGACGCCTAGCCATCTGTTACCTTCACAGCCTTTAAATCATACTAATTATCTATTCGGTTATTAATGTTAATTAGCTCGATGTAGACCTACATGCATCAACATCACGGGGGAAAATATAATCAACATTTTTCGTAGTCTGGTTCCCAGGCCAAAAGATTCTAACTATTCCTGATTAATCTTAGGGTAGCAGACCAGTAAATGAACTTCCATAGACCCCAATGATAATGCTCCCACTTCGGAAATTTGGGAAACATACCTACAACTCTCCAAGGTGTTCAAGACACACATCAAATTAAAGCTTATTTCATCATTTTTCATTTTCTTTTCAATTTTTTGGGGGTCAACTGATGACTTTTAGGAGAAATTTCCATCCAAAGATGATCACCCCTAAAAAATAGTCCTGAAGCCCATCGCCATTTTGAAAAACGATGGCTACACTCCAATGCAAAATAGAGCGCTTTTAGGGTCCCAATTTATCCAAATTACACACAACTGCAAGCTCCCAGTCCTGTGCACGACTTCCACCCATATTTTTAACAAACCCTCAAGTTCATGGCCCACAGTGCTCTCAAATACTGAAGATTTTGAGGGCATGCAAATCGTGATCTGGCCGGCGTAGGCAATTTTGGGCCTATTTACTGGTCTGCAACCTTATTGAATATCCCATGGCAATTTAGATGTAGGACTATCTCACTCATAAGTTATTTCCATACATAATATTCACGTGATGGCGGTGTCACGTAACTGCGAGATGTGTTATGTATATATCATGTCCATGCCCACCCGGTACCCCTTCTAAAACCTTTGAGCAAGAAAGTCAACCACCGCGCACACTGTTCCTTCACCAAAATAGTCCCTGGACTATGAGCGGGGTGGTGAGCAACAGTCTGGAGGGGCCGGACGGCGGAAGGCCCGGCTGGGTAGCGGTCCTCGCGCTCTGGACCAGAAACCTCATGGTGACCGGCATTACCAAAGGTCTCGGGATAATGCTGCCGATTTTGCAAATCCAACTGACCTCCCAAATGTGGATTATCGGCTGGATAGCGTCACTGACAACCGCAACAAGTGGATTAGTAGGTAACACTGACAGTATTTTTCTAAACTGCAATTTAATTCAACTGTGTGTATTATATTTATGGCGTTGCGAAGAAGCGCATGCATGGGTGTTGTACTGTATTACAATTGACTGAGCGTTTTCATGCGTATATCAATTACTCATGCGTATATCAATTACTCATCATATCAATTACATTATCTCTTAAACAAATATCCCATGGAGTTCCTCAAGGATCAATACTTGGACCTTTACTGTTCTCTATTTATGATTTTAACAAATCATCAGATCTATTTTCCTTCATTATGTTTGCTGATGACAGTAAGTTATTTCTTAGTCATAACAACATTGATGTACTTGCTGATTTAGTTAACCAAGAATTACTTAAAATTTCTGAATGGTTTAAAGCAAACAAATTATCCCTTAATATCAAGAAAACAACCTGCATGCTATTTTCCGCTAAAACATGTTCCATTTACCTGATATATATATCGATAACATAAAATTGCCCTATTCTGATTGTGTAAAATTTTTGGGATTATATATTGATCCTACTCTCTCTTGGAAAATTCAAGTTAACAACATTTGTTCTATTATCTCTAGAAATATAGGTGTCATTAGTAAGCTCAAAGCCTTTTTCCCACAGGAAGTACTGTTTATGCTGTATAATACATTGATTTTGCCTTATTTGAACTATGGTATCCTAGCATGGGGGAATTGTGCAGCTAGTTATTTGAATAGTTTTCTTAACCTACAAAAACGGGCATTGAGAGTTATTAATTCTGTCGACAGACTAGAACATTCAAATCCTCTTTTCTGTAAACATAAAACACTCAAGGTCAATGACATTTATTCACTTCAGCTTGGAGCCTTCATGCATCGTTTGAACAATAATTTACTTCCAAATCCCATTGCACAAATGTTCTGCAGAAACGAAACTATACATCACCATTTTACCCGACAACGTAGATAATTTCACTTTTCATTTGCAAGAACAACTGTTTACAAAAAGACAATTAGGCATGAAGGCCCTAAGTACTGGAAGTCCTTACATAAATCACTCCAGGGCACTCGTAGCCTTCCATTATTTAAATCCAAACTTAAATCGAATTTACTATCAAATTATAATAGCTCAGATTAATCTTCTTACTGGGTTACTACTCTGTATTTCTTTTTTTCTGATCAGCAATATTATGTTTTTCCGTGTGTTATGTACAATTTAAAATGTATACGTTCAATTGTTTTTCATTTGTTTTTCATTAAATGTTTGTATTAATCCATGTTAAGGGGATCCCTACTCGACAAGCTCCGCTTTTTGGGGATCCCCTTCCACCATCTCTAATTAGAAAATAATGCGCCCAAAGTGTATATAAATATATTTTGTAAAACAAGCTCGAACTTTATAATACCCAAAACTACATGTATGTATTGATGCCTTGTCACTTAATGAAAGAGATGTGGTAAAAATAATGAAGAATGAATGAATGAATGAATGCATGACTGTAAGCCACTATCTAAATGTAATAATTGTTGGTTGTAATGCAACCCAGACTACATGTGAATATGATACTTTAAAAATATAATTAGGATTTTAATTTTCTCCATGCATCGGTTTCAAATGGGTCCCTTCAGCAATACCATTTTCATTCTATTTCACAGTCATTATTTTAAAATCAAATACACATAAATGTTGACATTGTGTGAACTGATATACGTGCGGAAAATAAACTGCACGATCATTATTATTTCTTCGGTGGTCTGGTCAGAACATGATTTACTATCATGACAAGTTGATTATATTACTCTTAATTTACTACAGACATCATCATTGTGCCCAAAACGCAACATAGCCGAACAGAATTTTCACTGTATGGTATCCTACTCAATTGTTATCCTACTTAATTGTTATCCAACTTCATTCGCATCTAGAAACAAGGATGTTCCATCCTTTGATCAACTCAAAATCAAATATTTTACGTCTCCACAGCTCCTTTCGGAGGATTAGTGAGCAGGCGCTTTGGGGCTGGTTACGTCATGATGACGTGTGGCGTGATGATGAGTGCAGCGGCCATTGCCGGATCGTTCGTCGAGAACTCTCTGCAACTGGCGTTGCTGTACACGTTACTGGCAGGTTGTATTAAAAAACATTGAAAAACAACGATTTCAACTTCATTGAATTTCCACATGAAATGTATCGGTTTTCCCGATTAATTTAACACTCGTAGCAAACAGATTC